GAACGGACCGCGTTGCAGATGGAACTGAGTGGGACATCTGCCAAACCAAGACGGTCGAACCAATCAAGGCCAAGGAGGTTCAGTTCGGCAGCAGCAACATAACATGGCCCAGTGAATGTCGTTCCATTGAATGAGACACAGCATTGCAGTTGTCGAGAGAGCCGCAGTTCACCGCCACAGGCACTGATGGTGGTTCTGGATGAGCGTCGAATAGGTGGACGCCCCATCACCCTGACTTGAAATTTTGCAAGCAGACTCATAGCGGAGCCCACCTGCTTGGAAGTCTGCGGGCGTGGGTGCTGCTTGGATGCGCCGTGGGATGTACTGGCTGGGCCTGCCTTGCGTTACCCGTCTTTGTGGCCAACGGTCTTGCATTGTCGGCATCGATGTTGTTTGTAGGGGCACAATTTGACAAAGTGCCAAACCCCGCAGTGCCAGCATGGGGATGACGGCTTCTTCTTCAAAACATTCTGCTGACTTGATTGGGCAGAGGAGGACGGGCCAAAGATTTGGGAGCCAGGTGGCTTGGAGGCCTGGCGAACCGCATGAACTTCGGGACCACCTTGGCCCTCAGATTGGACCAAAGTGGTGTCATGATGTAGGTTAGTCAACCGTTGGTATTCGTCTGCGATGGCGTTGAGAGTCAGCGAGGGGTCTTGCTCCAGTCGGTTGAGCAAGCGCGTCCGTATGTTTGCGAACATGGGAGATTGGAGGCTGCATATGAAAATCAGAGATTTGAACTGGTCAGTTGTGAGCGACTTCAATTTGAAACGTTCGCACTCGCGATTAACAATGCCAACGTGTGTCAAAAAGTCATCTGACTCGTTGATAACCAACTTTAGACAGCGGTACCGCGTATTGAATAGAGAAGACCGTTCTCCAAAGGTTACCATCAGCGTCTGTACGGTGTCATCGAATGACCTGTTGCGTGGGTTCTGTGGTAGGATCAGGTTGAAGTACTCGTCCAGCTCTGCCGAGCCAAGTTTATGAAGCAAGGGCCGGACTTTTCATGCATCGTCCTGCGCAGCGAGATCAACTCGGAATAGGTCCTCGTAACGGCGGAACCACGTCTCGAACGTAACGTTAGCGTCTGGATCGTAGTTAAATTCCGCAATGCTACTCGCACTCGCATCTACCTGCTGACCGGGCGCCGGATTGGACGTGGTACTACTAACGAGAACCTTTAGCTGCGTAAATATTTCGATGAGTTTAAGCTGTTGCTCGAGCAGGGCCTTTACTTTCGCAGGATCCATTACGGGTAGAACGAAACACCTCGTCACCAAATGATATGTATCGGAATCGGGTACGATCAACGGATATACGCGACCTGAGAACAAGCGCACAACTCCCCAGCTATGACGCGAGCCCAACCACTCCTAGCGCAGACAGAGAAGACCAGACCTCCAGAAAAGGGCTTTTACTGCCTCAACCAAAGGGGAATTACAGTGGGAGCAACGTCGTATATATATATATATTTCGAGCGACCTTAGGGAGCGAAAAGTCAGTTAATGCACACAAAATATAGCTGGCCAATAGGAAAAGAGCGCGGTGTTTACGGATTGAGGTGCAACATGGCGGAAAAGGCGCGAAATTTAAAAATTCAAAAATTTTTGAAAATAAACTGGCAATAATTCGGAAAATAAGCAGTTTTTGGGGATACTGACATCCCCAACA